GCATGCACTGCGGTCTCGAGAGGAAACGCAGCTTTTTGATATAAAGTTTTTCTTGTTCCCGAATACAAATATTTTTTAAAGTATTTGTTCGAAATAAGTATTCGTAAAAAACACATTATTTGTGCCTTTCCGAATACCGTATTCGGGTTCGGCTCCACCCCTAGTGTGTGTGTAGGACCCTGGTCTGGCTTGCACCTCCATTCCTCACTCTGGGCATCTAACATTTCCTTGAGTTTGTTGTCCGATGCTGGTTTAACTTTGAGAATAATCTGGATTTGGCCTTTTAAGGGAACAAAAGGAAATCAGAAAAGAACAACAGTAACAACAACAGGGGTTACTCTAGTTTACAGTTCCAGTGATTTTGTTTCTCAATAACTGTTAAATACTATTATTGTTGGAACACAGATTTATTCCAGTGCTTTTACATTATTTAATGATGGTGTGAAACAAGCATCAACAGCACAGGAGGTCTGATGCATGAATTCTCTGCTTTGGTACTTTTTAAAGTCTATTCCTCATCCCACCAGTTTTTCTTTCTTTTTGTTTTGACATCGCTCACTTTAATCCTGCTGGTATTAAGCACAGTTATGACCCTGGACTGGCTGACCCAATTGTTGTGTCCGGTGCCAGTCCTCGGGTTGGCTTCACTTCTCTCAGAGATTCTGGCGGTCCTTGCGGTTTGCTTCCTCAGCTGTGGTGCCTTAAAGAACCCGTCGTGTTTCCTCTTGGGCACGAACTCCAGTGCCTGCTCCCAGTTGCCGCCCTCCTTCAGCGTGAGCAAAATGCGCATCATCTGGTCCAGGGTCAGGTTTTTGCTGCCCATGTCCCAGTGGAGGAAATTGTCCAGTGGGAGCCGTGCGGTGACCAGCTGAAGGCGTTTTGCGTTGGCCAGGGAGAGACCTGTCTGGATGCTCTTGTCCACCATAGCTCCCACGATGTACACCTTGTCGTGATCAAACGTCCGCAGCACGTTCCGCGAGTCAGCGGTCAGGTAGACCACCTGGTTCTTGGGAAAGAGGTCCATGTAGTGCTGCTCAGTGGTGGTGATCAGGAGCCGGTCCCAGGTGTCACGGCCGTAGCGCTTCAGCAGCTCCTGGTGATAGATTCCATCCGGTTTCAGGTTGCAGAAGTGAAGGTGAAAGGGGTCTGCAGAGCGACGGTTCCAGCCCTCACTCTCCAGCAGCTGGGAGACAGCGCTGGTCATCTCAGGCTTGGACATGTTCTGCTCATAGCTCATGTCGAACACCAGCGGCTGCCCGAAGCACATGGATTGAGCCGCCCTCCAGTTGTGCAAAGCATCCATGGAACGAGTCCAGAAATGCATCAGGAAGGTGTTCCGCAGAGGCCTGTCCGCTCCCTCCTCCTCGCCCTCCGCATTGCGCTGCCTTTCTGCCTCCTTCTGTGCCCTTTTCCGCTCCTTCTTCTCCTTGTCAACCTTCTTATGATGTTCTTTCAGGGCCAGACGTTTGAGGAACTTCTTTTTGGAGGACTTGGTGGACAGGGCGGTCAGAGCTTGCAGGTCCTCCTCGCTGATCTGCTCCGGCACCAGCTTCCCGGCCAGCCGCCACATTTCCACAAGCTCTCGAGACGACTCCAGGGTAGAGCACTCTTCCTCCTCATCATCATCAATGTCATTGCTGTCGTCGTCCTCCTCCTTGTCCTCTTGCGGCTGTGACGATCTCATCACTGACTTCCATACGTCCAGATCCAGTTTCTTGGCAGCCAGGTCATGGGCCTGGCTGGACTCTTTCCTCAGACCAGCATTAGCGTAGAAAGTCCGACCCGCGCCAGCAGTCAATGACAGGAAACAACTCCACCGTCTACCTGCCCTTACAGTAGCCTGAGGGAAGCGATGGCTCCATAGTACATTCATAAACATCTGTTTGAGGAGTCTCATTGTTCCTTAGCAACTCCACTAAGAGGGAAACAAACAATTGCGTTAATTACACGTGCTTATACGCAACACATACCTCCGATCTTATTAAAACTGCTCTTCTGCGAGTCTGAATTAATCGCGCATTAGCAGTTTCCCCTAATCTGGGCGTCTTTATAACTTGACATTTTAAGACACGCCTAATCGGCTAGTACCTTAGCTCATTCATTTTTAAAAAAAAAAATTGTTTCTGTAGCAGCCACGATAAAATGCGTACCTGTGGTCTCATTCCTACTACTCAAAGAAGGAAGATCTCGGAATCAGCATTGCGCGCACACGCTCTGGGAAAGGTCACGCTCGGCTGCTGTGCAGCAGCTTTTTCCGCCGTGGTGAAACAAAAACTCGTTTGACAAATACCCTATTAACACATTACCATCATATAATAATTTACGGAGAATATGTATGACCTAATCACTTTTTACCAGTTTACCAGTATGCTTTTGAGTACGGGCCACTGCCGAAGCTGGATAAACCAACTATGTTTCTAGATAAAATTGTTTTGATATTTAATAAGATAAAATGTATGGCTGTTAGTGCAATTCAACTAGAGTAAATCTTAAAAAATACTTCAATACATCAATGCGATATGTTAGGAGCAGGGTGGACTCTCAGCAGAAGCATATTAAATAAGAACTGTCGTCAAAAAACGACATATCCATGGTTAAATTATCCTATATCAACATCCCTTGGAAGAAAATCCATTGTATGCAGGTATTCCATAGAACGACTGTTCTGTACAAACTACTGAAAAGCCTTACCCCAAACTGCTCGCCCCCATATGCAAACTCTCCGCTTATAAGATACATTCTGAGTTTTAAATGAATTTAAATGTAATATACATATTCTAAACACAATTTGTTCTCCACTCAAAGAATTTCAGAATAAAAACGAGGCCATTCAGGAGTGCAATTCAGAATTTTATTGCTTTGTTAGTCAAAAAAATATTTTAAACTGCAAAATAAATTCCACATTCATGTAGATGGATACAAATATGTTATATGTTGGCATTTCAGAATTATCCTTTCAGCGTCAATGATGAGGGAATCCGTGACTGCCGGCTAAGCCTGCTATCCGGGAGAATTCACAGCTCTTGGAGCGCCATGGCTCCTGCTCCTGGTGACGATGTCGAAGGGCATGGGTGGCGATCTGTTCCGGAGAATCTTGGTGAAGAACCGGAATATGGCATCCACACAGGCAGCGGGTGCAGCTTCGTGGCACTGGGTCCCGGCTGACAGCTGTCGGCACTCAGCCTTGAGGGACCCTACGGGCTGGTTGAGGGGCTTGGGGCTCAGTACCCACTTCCTGGACTTGGATTTTAGCCAATCCCGGCTATCGGTGTCGAGCAATTGGTGCCAGGGATTGTGCGAGGAATCCACAAAGGCGACCGCATGAACTCGCCCCTTAACGTCTTGTGGCTGTCGTGACAACAAATCCACAAAGGCCACGCCCCCATAGCCATGCATGACCACCACCACTTGCTTTGCGGCGCCCCGGGAAATCACACACTCCCACGCGAGGCTGACGTGCTCTTCGGGGGAGCTGCTCTGGTTGGGATTCATTATCAGCACCTCCCAGGACTCTGCCAGGGCCCGTCTCACGTAGGACAGCTGGCTGCCCCACTCCAGCCCCTTACTGGCAATCATCCTCCAGCTCCACTGCCCACAGCGCACCGTCCCCCTGTCCTGGATTAGGACGGCCAGGGTTCCTGGACTTTCATTGGCTTTGGGACTTATGAAGACAAAGTCCTGGAGCTGGGGGTCCAATTGGCTGGCAGATAAGGAGAGCCTTTGTAAGTGGCACTGCTCCTCTAGGAGACTGTACACATACATGGTGATGTATCTGCCCAAAAGCTGGTGCTCCCTTTGCAGTCCCAACACATCCCCTCTTCTATAACGGAAAACAAAGGTCTCTCGGGTATCTTTGTGACACAGCAGCCCCTCCTGGTTAAAGTGGTATGGGAAGTCACCGGATAAATGTGTGTCAGGCTCTATACACTGCATGCTAAAAACAGACAGACAGAAATGTCTAAATAACAGTATCAAGGTTTTATTAACTGCAAATAGAACATTATCCTTTAAGCAGGAATGCAAGTAACTTTCTAGACAGAGTGTTTAATAACAAATGTAATAATTTTGCAAATAATGGGGCAAGTTTGCCACTAACAAATGCAAACCAAAAAGTACCTTGTCATCCAGGTTAGAAACCACAACCTATAGCTGGTTTCTTCAGTTTCACTTAACTCGTGTGGTTAACCGCATCCACCATCTCTAGATAGGAAGGTAGGAATAATGCATTAAAACGCCATAACTGTTTATAAATCCCCTTTGCGTTGAGGTTGACTGCGTGCAGTTCGTGGTTACAAGTTATGCCTTTCAGTTAATGAGTAATTACGTTAAACTCATCCACAATTTTACTATTGCTGAGATTCCTGAATTAAAAAATGACTCGACACATTTGTGTTTCAGACGATCTCAAAAGCCAAGACGACGTAATTAACATGATATTCAAATATTTCCAGATCGACTTTTGAGTGAACTACCCTGCTTAGCAGGTATGTAACGGATGAAATGGATATCCGTAGGTTTTTTTATTGTGTAGTTTCATGGCCGGCATCGCTTACTAATTACACATTTAGACATTAAACTTATTAATATACGGAATTGTGCATAACAAAATTAACTTAACAAGTAGACAATAGGAATTCGCATGCAACTGAGGAATTCACAAAATAAACGTTAAACTGAAAATTGCAGGGGTTCTTTTCGACCTTATTCCACATATAAAAGTAGCGACCAGTATTTATTTAGACGCTTCATCAGAAATAGTTTTAGCAAAAATGGGTATAACAAATGTCCTAACTTCTGGGATTTTTTGCGACATAAGAGTATGATGTCTAAATTTATGCTAAACATTGTGCACTAGGCCTAACATTTGCTCACCAGCTTGGATGCCTTGTTCGAAGTGACTCGGAACCTTTGACACTGTTCAATTTTCTCCTCCGGGATAATTTCACAGTGACACCAAATGTGTTTCATGGAGCATGGCTGTAGCCGACCTTGTTAAAAACATGAAAATACCAGAATGGGCGCACTAGATATATTCAGTATTATATTATTTAGGATTTGATTTGAAGACGTTTTATTTGAGAAAGTTTGTTTTTTGCAGAAATAGGAAACAGCATATTTTAAAGCGTAGCCATGATACCTTTGCTTAAATCTGCTGTCTGCGGTCTGAGTAGTAGAGCTGTAGGATGTGGAGGCAAGTAATTTTCTGACTGCGGCGCTCATCATTAAAAAATATCTTAGAATAACATCTTGTACTTTGTCTTGTTTATCGTACAGGTGTCTTGCAGAACTATGCTACTATGCTCACTTCGGGGCTCAAGACCTACAGTCCGCTTCCGGACTACTCAGGTGAGTCACATACCGGCTTTAAGCCAACCTTGATTTTTTTTTATAGAATATCGCCGTGTAATTACTGTTTTGATGGATTTTTTCAGCTGTTGTGCTTAGACGACTGCGCAACAGCATTTGTACCATATGTCATCGTGGTGTTAAATTGTGGTTTATGTTGCTTCGCCAGACTGACGGTCACTAACCTCTTATCGCATGGGTGATGATGCTTTAGTGATAAGCGTGTGAGAGGCTGTCTTCCTCCTACCAGGCGTGGTGATTCCTGAGAAGACGAAGCTGAAGTTCATGGATAAGGTCCCCACCTTAAAGAAAGTCCGGAGGGAGATGAAGAGGCTGAAGGACATTGTGGGGCCAGAACAGAGGGAGAACGGCTTCACTTCGGGACAATATGGCATTGTGGTGGGTTGCCAAGGCAGCAGCATGTACCTGCAGGTCCATAGTGGTGAGACTGTTACAGAGAGATGGGTGGGGTGGTGGATTGCGGCTAGCTGGGATGGGGTGGGCATAATGCTGCCTTGACCCGTCTTGCCTCCACAGGCCATGGGTGGAGGTTACCTGCACTGGGGCCACATGGAGATGATGCGGTTGACCATCAACCGGCGCATCGATCCTCGCATCACCTACGCTTTGTGGCGCATCAACGCCCCCTACAAGCCCATCACCAGCAAGGGGCTCGGGAAGCGCATGGGTGGCGGCAAGGGTGCCGTGGACCACTATGTCACACCTGTACGCTGTGGGCGCCTCCTGGTGGAGCTGGGGGGGCACTGCGAGTTGGGGGAGGTGAAAGGTCTGCTGACTGAGGTGGCCAAGAAGCTGCCCTTCCCTGCCAAGGTGTGTTTCAGGGAACCCCACCCGAATGGAGCTTAATGATCCAATAGCGAGTAACAGAATCAGCCTTATTCTGCCTTGTCTTCACGCCTTCATAGTTAATGAATGAGTCAGATCTTTTTTTGAGAACGCTCAATCTAGCCGACATTGTGATTCAGACAGTGTTTCATCAGTCCTTGTTTACTTGAACCATTTGTTCACTTTGCTAATCTGACTGTTCATTACCTTTCTGTCTGTGTTTGAGGAGTGCACCCCCCCCCCCCGGGTCCTGTTTTCATGAGCCGTTTTCTTTTGCTCAGGTGGTGAGCAGAGAGAGTCTGGCTGAGATGCAGCAGGCTGCGGCCGCCAGGGAAATGAACAACCAGAACCCCTGGACCTTCAGTCGGATCGCCACGGCCAACATGCTGGGGATCCGCAAAGTGCTGAGCCCAGTGGACCTGCGGCACCACGGCCGCTATACCGGCAAGTTCCACTTGCCAGAAAGGGTGTGACCCTGGGGGGGGGTCACTGGTGTGAGCAGCTACCACAAGGCCCATGGGCGATGGTTCTGGGATTTCTCTGTGACAATCTGCCGTGATTTCCACGGGGCATGCTGTAACTAAGTGTTACCATGGTTACAGTTGCTGTGTGTTTTGCCGCAAATAGTAATAAAAAATAAATGATCAAAAAAAGGTGTCCTAATTCTTCTGCTTGCGTGTTTCCATGTATGTGTGGAAGACAGCAGTGGAGTGGTTTTCTCTCTTTCGCTGTGAATGTGTCAGCTGTTTAGGCTCCCCGGACCGACGTTAGCGTGATAACTATGAGCTGGCTGATCTAACCTACTTTCAGTTGCTTTCAGACTAGAACAGGGGTGAGCAGTCTTATCCGCAAAGGGCCGGTGCGTATGCAGGTTTTTGGGATAACCTGTAGGTCAGCTGTTCAAACCCAGGTGTGAGGACTCTTCAGTACTCAGTCCTCAAATTAGTGACCTAATTAGGGAGTTGCAGCGAAAACCTGCATATACACCAGCCCTTTGCGGATAAGATTGCTCATCCTTGAGCTAGAGGCTGTATCATCCCCATGCCGACCCACCTTTCTCCCAGTGACCTTCTTTCATGTGTGCCCCTCAAACGGTACTGCTGCCGGGATGGACGGCACACTCCGTGGCATTTTATGTCTGAGACCCAGACGGGCTGAAGCATCCCTCACCGTTGAAGCCAGGGGAGATCATCCGACTGCTTGATCGGAAATATTTGGCACTGCCATCAGTGTGAACCATAATCCAAAAAAAGGTCTGGTTCTGTGAGTCGAGATGCACTGGTTCAAAGGATGGTCTGGTTACCAAGTTATTGCATGAGAGATCGGAAAGAAAGAAAAGGAGCGGATGTGGAGGTGGAGGAGCCCTGACTCATAAGGAGTGTAACGCCTTACTGATTGTGAGCTTGTGGTCATGACCTTCTGCTTTCCTGTAGCATTAGCATCCAGCTATTGTCACAAATGCAGGAGAACCACTGTAGAGTTTGAAATTGTCAATTTTTGCAGGTATTTGATCTCAGCCGGGTCACGGTTTTATCTCCACTGAAAGTGTAAACGATAAACCTCATCGGACCCTCTCTGTCTTCCACTGACAACACCTCTTACCAAACAGTGCCCCCGTCAGGCCGCCAGCATCGTACAGGATCCCCCCACCACAGTCTCTCTGTCCCCCTCCTGTTTGGCTGGAGGCCCTGCAGCATCTGAGCCGGTTCTGCCAGACTCTGTAACGACTTCCCCCCCCCCATGGCCCACCCGCCCCACAGATTTGGACTTTACCTTAACTCTGCCATCCACCTGCACTGTCACTTTATTGCTATTTGCACAGTTTTTCCCATTGCTACCAGTACTCACTATTTACCATTATTTATGTATTATTCACTGATTTGCACTATTAATGTGCAACTCTGCTGTTTCCATCATTGCCTGTTCTACAGTAAATAGTCTAACATTGTTTATATACATATATACAGTATATATATATATATATATATATATACACACACACACACAGACACATACATTGTCTCTTCAGTTATGTATAAAAATGTGGCATGTGCATGTGTGTATGCGAATATGCATGTCTCGTTGTGTATGTCTGTACAGTATGTGTATATATAGGCCTACATACACACACACACACACAGACACATACATTGTGACTCAGTGGGCTAAGCGCTTGTAGCTGTGCTTGGAAGCTTGCCAGCTGGAGCCCAGCCACTGCAGGATACTGTAGCTACTGCAGGTTGCAGGTGGCTGGTGGCTGGGCTTTGCTGTCAAGCCTGCGCTCACCGACGTGTGTGTCTGTGTGTCATGAAGCGCCAGATGCGGTAAGAGAATTTCCTTTCTTCATTTTAAATATATGTGTGTGTGTGTGTTTATATAGTTGGTGTGACAATACAGCCCCTCTTAACACCTTACTATAGATCTAATCCATCTACAGGATGTTAATAAGCTTATCTCATTGATAAGAGGCTCATCCTGTTTTTCAGCCATAAGAGCACCTTTCATTTTGATAATCTTCTCTCTAAGACTCTAGATGCTGTTTTTGGTCTGTACAACATTCTAGCTAAGATGTTTTTTGGGAGGGGCACTATGTAAAAGCAATGGGAACGGGCAGCCATGTATGATGGGGAAGCCTGATTGGGTGGTGAGTGGTTCATTGGGCTCAGTCTCTGTGCCTGTGATCAGAAGAGTGCTGGTTCAAGCCCTGGCCTTGGCAGAACAGTCACATGTCTGTGGGCCCCTGAGCAAGGCCCTTAACCCCCCCAGCTCCAGGGGTGCCACACATTAGATGACCAGGAGCTGTGACTCCCACGCTATGCAGTGCAAGATGATGTTTGCAAAGAAGCATACCAATGTACTTGTGCAAATAAAGTATATTTTTTGTTGTTGTCCCACTGACCATTCTAGACCATTTCAAGTGGGGGGGTCAGATGCATTAGACCTTAATGTGCTCCAAGAATGACTTACACTAGCTAGGTTGACGGCATTAAGAAGCAAAAGATGGTTTTTGAAAAGTGATGTTATTTATGCAATATCTTGCAATTACATTTTACAGTTTTTACAAATATGATTCTTGTTTAGACTGTCTTGCATCCACATGCTTGATTGTTTTTTCTGTTTAACTTTGCTTTTCACGAACTGTAGTGACTCGAAAATGGGCTCATGTTTGTCTTTCGCCTGTTCCCAGTGCACAGAATCTTAGCCCATATATGTAAATGCAAATAATAATAGTAGTAGTAATGATAATACCGACCCAAGTAGTATCAGTATTTAGGGGGGCCATGCATGCTGCCCCCCCCCCCCGCCCCCGTCCTGTGCTCTCTGTTCCCATGCTGAGGGACTCTGCAGTTAATTAAGCACATTTGTTCGATGGGTTTTGCAAACACAATCAGAGGTTAGAAAGGAGACATACATGCTTGGTTTTATCAGAAATATCTTCAGTCTCACCACAGGATAGAAAACAGGAAGCCAGAGTTGTTGAGGATGTTTGAGGGAAATTAAGTATTGGCACGGTTCACATGCTATAAGTTGGCAGGGCGACCACACTGTGCCTCGATCGTCTATCCTATGCCCAGTCTAGTTGGCTCCCTGCCCAGGGCACCAGTCTCATTCGACGAGCTTCACTGTCACTGCTAGAATCTCTTTAGGCGGCAGAGTGCATGGAGCGCACTGATGCCTACAACTCTGTAGTAGGATCAGACATACAATTATTCATGCATTGAGATCTTCTTCACAAGCAAATAAATAAACCAAATGTGTCTCTGCGGGTTAGATTTCTCTGCCTGTGGACGGAAGGTTCCTGATTACGATCACAAGATCGGCAGTGTCAATTCACATGAGTAAGACCCTTAACCCCCAATCGCTCCAGACCCTGATACATCACACACAGAAAAATGTATATTGCTTTGCATAATCATCTGATAAATAAATAAAAACATAAACCAGAGATTACACACATCAGATTTTGATTGGTTAAGAGTCACTGCCAAGAGGTTTTCTGTGACTGATATTGGAGCAGTGTACTGTGGTTTGAGCAGCCAACGCAAAGTCAGAGGCCAAAGAGCCAAAAACAGCGGCGACTTGTGCGTCAGGATTTGGTGGGACATCACAGAAACGGATCCTTGATGGCAAAACATGCAGAAGTGTCCATGAACTTATCGAAAGGTTTTGATCAAATGCCGATGTACATGGTCATTGTTCAGTATTTATTTATTCTTGCTAAGAAACTTAAATAACACTATTAAAAAAAATAAATGCTTATCGGATTGAAGCACTTAATGCCAAAAACACGTATATGAAAACAGAAGCAAATTATCAAACACAATTGTACAGAAGTGAAAAACGGCTCTTTGTGCATGCAGTTGCAGTTCTGGAAATGCTACACATCAGGACCCATGATACATCTGGGACATTATTCACCTGTCAGATGCCACCGCTGCCATGATGAAACCGTTCATCTCCAATAATTACCTCGAAGCGGCACTTCACATTTTGTCCGATTTGGGCTAACGGGCACCGTGGTTAAGGGTAAGACATATAGGCGCGGCATTTACTCCCTGGGTACCCAGCATATTGGTGCATATGCATCTGACCAAGGCCTCAGGCCAAGTCCGCTTGCATTTGGAATCGGCTAGAATCAAGGGTGTAGGTTTAGCGTAGGGGCCAAATGACCCCCAAACCCCCTACCTCCCTAAATACATACAGTATTTCCACAATATTAGAATGTCCAGACCATGCATACCCAAATCTACATTCGTGGCTAGAGTTGGGAATCCTGCCTGCGCAGGGAGCGGCGGCGGGTGTAGTCGGATGTATCGTCGTTGAAGATGCGGTCGACGGTGGACAGGAGCGAGGCGCGGATGGTGCGGCTGAGGCCCCGTGTGGCGAACACATAGAGCAGCGGGTTGAGGGCACTCTTCAGGTAGACCAGGTAGAGGGACGCGTACAGGCCATTGGTCACCCACAAGTCCTGGCTACCCCTCAGGGTGATCACGGACCGGAAGGTGTAGTAGGGCACCCAGCAGGTGAGGAAGAAGAGCATGGTGAGGAAGAGCACGCGGTACAGCCTGGTGAAGCGCAGTGATGTGACGGCGGACGAGCTGGACACCGACGACATCGTCTCGCCGGCCTGCCGGGCGGTGACCAGGACCACCACGTTACTGCTAAGGAAGATGAGGAGAGGCAGAATGAAGCCTAGGATGGACTCTGTGATGAAGAAGGCCCAGATTGAGCCCGGGTGGTCCCTGTCGCTCTCCCAGCACTGGGTTTCATTTAGCAGGAGTTTGGCAGTGCCCACATAGGGTGTCGACAGGCATATGGCCAACACCCAGAGCACCAGGCACACCAGCGGCACAGTCCAGCGGGATCGGCGCATCCGGAACCAGAGTGGCCTCATCAGGCAGAGGCAGCGCTCCATGGAGATAGCGCACAGCAGGAAGGCGTTGGCGTACAGGCCCAGGCCTCGCAGGAACATGATCAGGCGGCAGGCGGTCAGGCCGAAAGGCCACGTGTTGTGATGGGCCAGGTAGCCCAGCATGAGGGGCGTCCGCAGCAGCAGCACCAGGTCGGCCAGCGCCAGGTTCACCACGTAGACGCGGAAGCTGCTGGCGCTGCGCCCCTCCACGCCCCTGTCGCGCCAACCCCGCCGCAGGCCCAGCACCCAAACCACCAGGCTGTTCAGCGGGACGCCCACCAGAAAGATGAGGGTCGTGATCACGATCTGGATCACGCGTATCGCCTCATGCTGACCTCCTGCAGCGACAGCGGCAGTGGCGCTGCTCTGGGTTTGGTTGAGAAGGGGCATCCCCGTGCTGTAATCTCCCGCACCAGCTCCGGAGGGAAACACAAAAAAAGAACATCAACACATGATACCACAGCTGGTCATAGAGCACCTTTTTCCGGCAGTCAGCGTGGGCTATGAACCTATACACTTCAATAAATAAATGTTGGGGGACAGGAAGACACTAGAAACATGAGAGACTAATGAAAATAGTTCCTAAAAAGCTACAAATACTAAGACAAAAGACGGCCGAAAAGAAGTGTCATAACTTGACAGGAAAAGAGGACCGATTAGGAGATAAGCTACATCAGAAGGGGCCCATTTACACAGAAAACTGCCTCTTCCTCTATTTACTACATTTTTCATTTTGATCAGTGAAAAACTACATGGATAATCATACATCAGACAGACCAAGTCTCCATGCTACTTACTGGCTTCTTTTCTCTAGTCACACGACTCCAGCGATAATCATTTTCTTGCCATCATATTTCTAAAAAAAAAGAGCCATAATTTGCTCCAGAGATCTATCCATCCCAGTAGAATGATCCCCAAGCAAACACCTAATCCCTATTCTATCTTGGCCACAGGTATCCACACACTCCCTACAACACAAGGCTGGGCATGCCGGCTCTCCCTGAACGTGCCGTTTTGCAATGACAGCATTCCTGACCAGCACACCGAAATGTGGTAACATGCAAGAGTTTTTATTTCCTCCATGGGTTCTGGGACCGTCGTCGAGAAAAAGCGACCGAAAGTAAAGTTAAACATGACGGATGAAGCTTCAAGCCTTACCTGCCAAGTTAAGTGGGTGAGGTAATGCTTTACCCTGGAGAGACGGCGAGATTGTGAGAGAGGTACTGAAGGAGGGCGTATCTGAGCGTGAGTGTGTGTGTGTGTATGAAGAGACACACAGATGTTGTAAAAAGATAGAGAGAGATGGCTGAATGAATCACTCAGCACCACCTCTGCACCTATTAACTGCACTGTTCTACAACTCCTGAAACGTTTGCTTTGTACTGAGTAACAATCGGTACCGGCGTCTGTCATTAGCATTGTTAATACCTATAACAGGTTTTATGAGGCTTTGCATTAAGCTGCATCCGCGTGACAACTGAGGCCGAGTAGGTTATGATATATCATGCATGAAATTCTTCAGGTGTTTCAGAAAAAAATTAAAATCTGAAATGCTTAAAATATGCTCAGTACGTCATGTTTAAATGTCAATTTATTTATATTCCATTTATTCTTTTTCTTTACACTACGGCCAACAAGATTAAAATTAACTTTATGTATGGCTGATGGATTGGTATTTCTTATCCTGGCCCTCAAGGACTCCAAGACGGTCCATGTTTTTGCTCCCTCTCATGTGGAGCATCTGGGGGGGGGGGGGATCCCCAAAGCCTTTTTTAAAACACTGTCATAGATCCCATAGCTGAAGATGACTTTAAAGATACATGGACTCCTTTTGTTTTGTCAGGAGCAGGCAATGCAGTGCAGGAAGAGCACATGGGGCTGGTAGCATTCATACAGCAGGATGCGCTTTCTGAATGGCCTTGTGTTTCGTGCTGCTGAAAACAGAAGTGGGAGCTGGCTGCTTCCTCTAATTCGGGGCAATAGCTGCGCGATTTCACCACCTCCTTCACTTCGTGTTGGAGGGCATATTCCCTGCATGGTTTAATGTCTTCCTGCGCAATCAGACAAACTCGCAAAAAAAAAAAGAAAAAAAAAAGTAAAATGACCAAAGAGTGTTTCAGTAAGACTGCCACCTCGGTGTGAACCCACACCCAGTTGAATCTCTTCGCTCCACAGACAAATAAAAAAGTGGTGATGTGGAACTGAATGACATGTTTGACCTCTTACAGTCTTCTTTAATCTTTATTTCAGAATTACTTTCACTGCCTTTTCTTTAGTCATATTACTGTTTTCATTTGGTTTCATTCTGAAGTTACACACCCATGTGTAATTACAAATTCATTATGCTAAAACTCCAGAACTGCTCCCAATTCAGCAGTTTTATGCACAGGCACCTGGTGGGTTCGTTTTTTTCTGAGGTTCTACTCAATAAGTCTCTTTCGCAAGAATAGACAGCTTGGGGGTCCCAGGGAGTAGGTTGCAGAACATTTGAACAAGGGAGGAGCATGGATGTATATTTAGTCAATCCACTTGTCAGTTTGCTTTTGAAAAGCTCAGACATAAACATTTCTTTGCAAAACAAATATAATGTAGCCTTTGTTAATAAAGTTTTATCGTCTTACCGGTTTGTAATTCGAGGTAATTTTTTCGTGATTATTCATCACTGCATTGTTGACGATGCTCCAAAAGTTACACCGGTACGCCCCCCCCCCTTTCCGCGGTTTCAGCTGTGGTGAACAGCGCCGCTAGAATCAAAAACAGATGATCCACATGGTCGGTAGAATAAGGACAAGTAGATGCATCTAGTGGGAAGTCAAGAGCTGTTTTCAGGATTCAATTCTGCTTTACATTTCTTCCGATTTGAGTTTTACAATAATGTCGCCGATTGCAGCTTTGAGGGAAAGGTGCAGGTGATGCCCCAGGGTTCGGACACACTCACGCACCCACAGGAAAGCGTGTATGCGCTAACTGAATAGTGTGGCTTTATGCGGAACATGAAATAGGCATAAAAGACACAACACTTTACTGCAGAGACAGCAGTAATTTTGGTTACTCAGATCTGCGACTCATTAGCGAAAACATCTTTTGTTCTTTAAAACAGCATTTAAAAGATTGTCGCCTGCTGTGGAAATTCGAATTAATAACTTAAATTAGAACTTTTAACGCACTTTTGCATGATTAATCGCCTTAGATCGCCTCATCGTGTGCTGTTGTACAGTAATTAGAAAGATAAAAGAAAAGTTCAGGTTAGTAACTGAAACGCACAAAAGGGTGTGGAATCAGCACTAGTTTGAAAAGATGGCTTTCCTGAGTTTTTCTAAGGTAGTTGGGGCTGTTCTCTTTTCTTCCCCTGCATCGCGCAGAGAAAATATTTTTAATTAAAGATTAACTTCACTTCTTTTGTCTATGATGCACACACCCAGAGGTCGACATTTTTCTCGCTTGCCTGCCAGAACAGGGCGTTTATTTTTATGTTGACATACTGTCACTGGTCCCTGCCCTGTCGCTGTGTCATATGATCGCTCCGGTGAAATCTGTGCGCTGCGGTCCATCGTTGTAACATTAATAGTTCTCCCCCACAAATCGATCTGCTCTGGAAATCAACAAAAAGTTAAAAAAAAAAAAAAAACATGATATCACGACTTTTATGAAATTGGCAGAACCGGTATAGATGTCATAGGGTAGAGTGTCTTAAGGACATCACAGTGCATGCATACAAACAGCTTGTTGAAAGTGTTTATTGAGATTGCATGCCTTAATAATTTGGAAATGCCTTTTTAAACCATGAATTGTTGTAGGCTATATAAAAGCATACAAATAAGCAAACACACACGTATGCAGTTTTGCAAAAGTAGACCTATGAAATATTCATTGTGGGCTCCATGCACCCGGACAGCATTTGAGTGAGGAAGTGAGAAGCAGGTGAGTTTGGTGTTACTAGTGGAACATGGCGTGCTGGGAAAATGCAGAAACTGATGGCGGAAGCTGCGTGGCTTTGGAGAAGTAAACGGCTGCAGCCACCAAGCTTAGGCCCGACGCTCTCAGGCCCCTTCCGGTTCACCATGCGCCGAACAATTCGCCATTCTCAAGCCTCGCTCTACTTATAACCCCGCATGCCCCAAATAGAATAAAATAAAAGAATCATGACGTAACTACATTGCTTCAGTACTATTTTAATCTTGATGTAAATGTAGGCTACTTCATGTAACTAGAATGAAGAGAGCAACAGATAATGTGGTATATGTTTCCAAATCATTATAACTATGTTATAACAAAGATAAAGAATGCTTGACTTTAAGTGATCAATAAATATTTAGGCAAGTTATCCAAGAAAACTGCTGATATCAATAAAATTGCTATTTGCGTTTTTGTTGTGTGGACTTTTATGCATAAACAGTAAAACTTTTAACATGAAAAAATGGAGATATAAAATGTTTAGATTTATAATACATACACAATACTGAAACACAGATCGTGCACAAATATATGCGTAGGACATTTTTTCCCAAACACGTTAAACAGTGCTGCCAGGTCCAGCAAAAATCTCCAGCCCAAGGTCCGCTTAAAATCCGCCCAACGGAAGCTGAAACTAGCCCAGTACTAGTATTTGAAAACCCAGTATACTGTACCTCAAAGAAATAAACCAGTATTCTGTATGTTGATCACATTCAAATATTCAACACTTTAAAACCACCATACACAATGACGTCACATACTTTGCCTACTTTAGTGAGCTGCCTGTAATGAAATTTTCAATTCGAGACAAGTCTGCACACACATGCACACGCATTTACATGTATGTAACAGATTTATTACCTTGTAAATAGTATTGAGTTTCAAACTACCCCAACGCTTTGGATAATTTTAGGTTTATAATGGAATAATAATCTATGTATTTGCCGTTAGATAGCTTGCGTGAGTCTGAAAGCGTGAGTGGGTGGCTGCAGCCGTATAGTATTGAGGTTTGCAAATCCTGTATAGCAATGGTTTTAATGCCGGGGACAGATTTTTGCTTTAACTAAGAGTGTTTTTTCGTGATGAATATTTCCTGTAAGTACGCCACTAACATCATATAAAAAAACTTATCTAGACACAGAGGACAAGGACCAACCACAATCTAGACACAGCGCAATGCCACTTCCGAAGATGTTTTCAAAAGCTTTTAGAAACAGGAACGAACAATCGTGACAAAAACAAAGGAACACACGTGTTTTGATAAAAAAATATTTACAACAGAATCAGGTCCTAATCAGCCACACCACACAACCGACTTAAAACAGTGCGTTGAAATAATTAAGCCTATCCTATTAAGGGAGACGCAAAAGACTAAGTTATTAAAGGGAAATGCAGCTTTCTGGGAACCCTGATTTCAGAGTCTGTTGCTAGTAATGCTATTGCAACAGTGCCCCCATGTGGTCATATTTCAGAAGCTTTTAAGAACGTCACTGTCACAACACTGCCATCGTGTGGAATGATTCTGAATTGCAGGAAGTCTGACCTTTAAAAGGTGTCATCAGTGGAGATAGCTGGAGGAAACGGAAACAATTATTTTCCCTGCATTCTTAATGTTTTTCTCTCTCAATAGCTGTTTATGGTTAGTGGCAAAAACTTTGCACTTCTTCCAGGATACCGACAGACAGTTAACAACAGGAATTATTGAAGAATAAAAAATGCTTAACCATCTTCTAAGAAATTTTAGTCACACTTTCCAGTACTCTAAGATCTTGTTCTCTGTAAGTCAGTCACTCCATTCATCTCTCCCAGTCTCTATTTCTTAGTAAAAGAGACATGTACACGCAAACAAATCAACCCATTACCACCCACAGCCAGCAAATTTCAAACTATAAAAGTAAACTAAAAAATACATGCCAGCAGTTTCGATTTTATTCTAGGAAGAATTATCAGTGTATTTATCTGAAAGCAGCTACAAACCCATATCTGCATGCTTATCTACAGCGGTTTATTGGGAATGTATCCCTTCAAGGAGTTTACAAGGCAGGTGACACTGGGTGAAATGACTGGCCGTCGGGGGAGCACCTCCTAATTACGTAATCGCATAAGACAGGCTTTGGACTGTGGTGGGGGGGAGGGGCGCGATTACCCAGATGAAACACGTGGGGAGAACATGCCACCTCTACAGGGGGCTGGGTCAGGACACTGGGAGGCGTGAATCCAGCCACATTCATAGCTCACATCACACATCTGCATTAATCTACATTACAGTATTTAGTAGAGACTTTTATCTAAAGCAACATACATTATAATTAATATGTATTAATGTGTCTGTTAATGAAACATGCAAAGTACCCGAGTGCCTTAAGTTATCTTCATATCAGCCGGAACTTTGATTTTATTCTGTACAACAGATCGAGAGACATTTTCTTCAAGTTGTGATAGAGGGGTAAGAGATGTTTACCTATGCTAAGTTCATGGCTGTTATTTTAAATGTTAACACATCGCTTATTTTCCACAAGACCCAATCCAAAAACATCTCACTATAAGACTTCCTGGGGCCTTTGTAATTTTACTTCTACAAAATGTTAATATCTTATTGATTGGCACCACTGATCTGCCTCCACACCTGGAATAAATAACAGTTATGTTTACACCAAGGTGACTGCACTGAGCTGTCACAATGGGAAAATGATGTCATCTTATGCAAACTATACCTGCTGCGTGACCAATGATCCTAAAATACAACTTGTTGAATGTGAGTGATGAACAGAGTGTCGATAACCCAACGCAAAATTCATGAGACGATGTGGACAGGTACTGTAGCCTGACAACCCCAGAAGTGACCTTCAGGCTGCTTGGAACTGTACACTTACCCACGGTTTTTGCTATGTGTGATGTTCTTCTCTTGTTCTTGCTTAGACAGACACCTCACCCAGTGCACGTCACACAGCTGAATATATTATTGGAGCAAATGAGGTTAAGTAACTTGCTTGTTTCAACAGGGTTCATTCTGGGTTATTGAAGCTGCCAATAATAAATGTATGAAATCTATCATCTACTTGGAGTGCGTTTCAATCTCCTCTTCATTTTTACTGGGCTGAGAGCTATGTTACTGTTTTGGTATGACAGTAGGGAATTTTTCTAGCGCACTGATCACTCAACTTTGCTTTGCAGTGCTACTGATCTCAAATGTCATTGTGGTCTGATAAAGAATGCTGGAGTTTCCAGGTTAGAGGGAGCTAACAGTAAAGGGATATATTAAAAAAAAACGTCTCATTTTGTGACTTTTTTAAACATTTCACACTTCAATCCAGTATCACTATGTAAAAAAACGCGGAGAGAAGGTGACTTCAGGCAGGAGGACTTTCACCGCCAATGACAGTGAAAGGCATGCTGGGAAATGTATGCCACTTCCCTGACTGTATTAATATACAATATGTCCACCGAAAGATCAAGTCCTTGCTACTCATCTTGGTCCTTGATCTTGATCTTCTTAAATTCATAATTAAGAGCTTAACAGTCTCCTCCCCCAAATCCTGCCAAAGGAATCCTGCTTGAAGGAAATCTGCCCCCCCCCCCCCCTTATAGCCACTGCACTACCACCCACGCTAATTTCTGTGAAATCCCTGTTAAATATAGACATACGAGAACTGAAGCTGTGACCTGAAACTTCTGATCTGACTTCAGGTGAAATTGCAAGCTATCGGGATTAGTCCATGGTCGGGGTTTGGGCAGCTGGTGAGACATTGACTGAAACAGCTCAATACAAATCAGGTGAATACTGTACTCCTAAAGAGTTAACCTAAAACTGAATGTCAGAAACTTCAGGAAATGTATGTAAAACTTGAAAAAAGTTCTGATGATTTTTCGAAGGAGCATCAGAACAAGTGTGGCAGGTTGGAGCAGTGGTTAACATTGTTGACTCCTCCCTCCAAAACCTGGGTTCAAGTCACCACCAGGATTCCATGTGTTTGGAGTTTGCATGTTCTGCCTATAT